GAGATGAGCACCGCAAACCTAGAGTCGGACTCGACTGCTTTAGAGCAAGGGAACCTTTACCTTTTTGTTAAGTGATCCAACCTTGTCTTGTTTAGCTTGGCCCTAAAAGGCAGGGGAGGGGGGGTCCCAAGTCGACGGGGCTTGGATCTAACCGGCTGCAATGGAAGAAGCGTGAATTGGACCACCCAGACAAAACTGGCAGGAAATACTCGCCAAGAGGTTTTGCCTGGCCATTCTCACAACACAGGTGATGGCATTAACCCGGCATGGCCGTCGACGTCATCTCTGCTTTTTCATGGCCGCTGAACCCTAAGTTCTCTCTTTTTTAAAATGCGCAAACAAACCCCGCCACGGTGACACGGGTGGCTGGCTCCACTGCAGTCTCTCCCCTGCCAGCAATTTGAGCCGGACTCCCAAGCCCGTCATCTCCCAGCCCCCATTGGGGCACTAATGCTGCACTTTATGTAACCGCAGCCCTTCTCTGCAATTATCCTTTTAGCCGTGGCAGAAGCCCAACTGATGCATCAAAGAGGCACTTGGAACAGAACATACCTGGAGTCGGCAGACCCTTGGAGACTGGCTAAAAATACCTCCCCCGGGCTCCTGGCCCGACAGAAGTCACGCTGGGACAGATGTTCCCATTCCAAAGGCACCGACCCTGTCTCTGTGAGATGCGCTCCTTAATTTCATTTAGCTGTTGTTTCTGTGTTCGGTTCAGTTGCTTTGTTGAGATGGGTCTGCCTTTTCCATTGCGGACGGTCGCCAAGGCGGCTTATGCAGAACAATGAAGTGCAATTGAATGGGAGAAGCTACCCGTGAGGGCCGGACACCCCACCCAAATGCCAGTTCTCGATAGAAGAAGAAGAGTTGGTTTTATACCTGGCTCTTCACTACCCGAAGAAGAGATTGGATTTATACCCCGCCCTTCACTACCTGAAGGTGTCTCAGAGCGGCTTACAGACTCCTTTTCCTTCTCCTCCCCACAACAGACACCCTGTGAGGTAGGCGGGCCTGAGAGAGCGCTGACAGAAACTGCTCTTTTTCAAGGACAGCTCTTATCAGAACTATGGCTTGTCCAAGGTCATCCAGCCAGGTGCAAGCGGAAGAGTGGGGAATCAAACCCGGTTCTCCCAGTTTAGAGTCCGTGCGCTTAACCACGACACAAAACTAGCTCCGAAGGAGTCTCAGAGCGACTTACAATCGCCTTCCTTTCCTCTTCTCACAACGGACACCCTGTGAGATAGGTGGGGCCGAGAGAGCTCCAAGAGAACTGTGACTGACCCAAGGCGACCCAGCTGCCTTCATGTGGAGGAGTGGGGAATTGAACCCGGTTCTCCCAGATTAGAGGCCGCTGCTCTTAACTACTACACCACACTGGCTCTCAGGCCCTGGAACTCCTTTTGGTGAAGGGCAGGTCGATAATGTCAGATAACCACCCTGAACCTGCAGGCTGTTGTCTGAGGTTCTGCTGAGTGTGTCCCTACCCTCTGAGGTTTAGGGGGTGGCAATAGGGGACAGGGCCTCCTTGGTGGTGGCCCCATCGTCATGGAACGCCCTCCCAGAAGGGTCTTAGCAGTGATGATCTCATGACTGGTGTCCTTTATGAAACAAGCGATGATGCTCATCTGATTGGGCACTTTGGTTCCTTTACCTGTGGTTTTGGCTAGGTGATTGTGGTGGGCTGTCTATGTTAGCCTGCTTGTTTTGAGGTTTAACAGCTGTTAGGCTTTAAGATAATTTCCCCTTTGCTGATTGCCTGCCTTTCTGGCCAACTCAAAGAGGGTTACGGAATTTAAAAACTACCTGGCGTGCATTAGTGTCGTGGTTGCTGTTAATGCCGCTCTCCTGGTTTTTGGTGTAGTGGTTAAGTGCGCGGACTCTAATCTGGGAGAACCGGGTTTGATTCCCCACTTCTCCACTTGCACCTGGCTGGATGACCTGGGGCAAGCCGTAGTTCTGATAAGAGCTGTTCTTGAAAAAGAGCCGTTTCTGTCAAGAGCTCTCTCAGCCCCACCTACCTCACAGGGTGTCTGTTGTGGGGAGGGGAAGGGAAAGGAGTTTGTAAGCCGCTCTGAGACACCTTTGGGTAGTGAAGGGCGGGGTATAAATCCAATCGCTTCTTCCTCTTCTTCTTCTCTTCTTTCTGTTACGCAACTCAACATGGCATTCATGGAGGGGTTGGGGGATTCTATCTGATTCACTGCAGCTTAGAATCAATGCTCAAAACTGAACGGCGAGAAATACTGGAAATAATGGCAAAGATTTCAGCAGGTTGTGCTTAAGGGGGGGGGGGGGCTGGGATCCCGGAAGGACAAAGACCGTTCCCCTTTGCATTAGGAAACCCAGGCTGACAATTGGAATTAAAAGGGGAAAATCTCCCCTAGACTATTCTGCACCCCCAGTCTTCTCACTGATTTACCTTCTTCCATTGGCTATAAACCTCCAGAAAGCAGGGAGGTTGGCCCCCCCCAGCATTTTTTTTTACAGAAAACAGTAAAATCAAGCAGTAAGAGTGTGTGTGCACACAAAAGCTTATACCCTGAATTAAATTTTGTTGGCCTTAAAGGGGACACTGGACTCAAACTTCGTTCTGCTGCTTCAAACCAACAGGGCGACCCACTTGAGTTTATCCTGCTTCTCCCCAGCTGGGGCTCAAAGCAGCATACAGTGTTCCCTCCTCTGTTTTATCCTCCCAACAGCCCTGTGGGGTAGGCTAGGTGGAGAGGAGGTGACTGGCCTGAGGTCACCCAGCAAGCTGCCATAACAGAGGGAGGATTAGAGCCTGGCTTTCCCCGATTCTAGTCTGACACTTTAACCCAGGAGTGTCAAACACATTTGTTACGAGGGCCGGATCTGACATAAATGAGACCTTGCTGGGCCGGGCCACGTGTGTCGTAAAATGTAATGCCAGGTAGCGGGGATATAAACTTTATAAAGGACTCAAACACAAAGGGCTTTTAAAAAAAAATTAAAATAAAAACATGCTTAAAACATCAGCACTCTTGCAATATTTTGTTTATTTAACAGTGTCTGGTAACTGACACCTCTTGCTCTGAATTATTGCATCAAAATGTCTGTGCAGTTGAAATCCTGAGTATGCTGTATCTGTAAGCTGCAAAGCTGCGATGACACAGCAGCAGAACTGGAAGCAGCAGCTAGAAGACAGCCAGTTCCAGTGCAGGCCTGATAGAAGCCCTCCCGGGGCCTGATCTGGCCCCCAGGCCACATGTTTGACACCCCTGCTTTAACCACTGCTCCGCTTTTAACTGGATTCCTTATCTCTGGAGCACCCTTTGGCCTCTTTTTCTCCCACGGACCAGTGAATTGCTGCAAAACCTGCAGAGGGCAGGAGGGTTTCCATTGGTAGAATGCTGAGAGGAGACAAGGGGGACTCAATAGATATTGTTTACCTTGACTTCCAGAAAGCTGCTGATAAAGTTCCTCATCAAAGGCTCCTAAGTAAGCTCAAAAATCATGGGATAGAAGGACAAGTCCTTTTATGGATCAAAAACTGGCTAGTTCATAGAAAACAGAGAGTGAGTGTAGGTGGGCAATTTTCTCAGTGGAGGGTGGTAAGCAGTGGGGTACCGCAGGGATCAGTACTTGGTCCACTGCTTTTTAACTTGTTCATTAATGATTTGGAGATGGGAGTAAGCAGTGAAGTGGCTAAATTTGCGGATGATACAAAGTTGTTCAGGGTGGTGAAAACCAGTGAGGATTGTGAGGCACTCCAAGGGGATCTGTCAAGGATGGGCGAGTGGGCGTCAACATGGCAAATGGGGTTCAATGTGGCCAAGTGCAAGGTGATGCACATTGGAGCCAAAAATCCTAAATATAAATACACATTGATGGGGTCTGAACTGGCAGAGACTGATCAAGAGAGAGATCTTGGAGTTGTAGTAGATAACTCACTGAAAATGTTGAGACAGTGTGTGGCTGCAATAAAGAAGGCCAATGCTATGCTGGGGATTATTAGGAAGGGTATTGAAAACAGATCAGCCAATATCATAATGCCCCTATATAAATCAATGGTGCAACCTCATTTGGAATACTGTGTGCCGTTCTGGTCACCACACCTTAAAAAGGATATTATAGCTTTGGAAAAAGTGCAGAAAAGGGCAACTCGAATGATAAAAGGGTTGGAACACTTTCCCTATGAGGAAAGGTTAAAGCGCTTAGGGCTCTTTAGCTTGGAGAAAAGACGACTGAGGGGTGACATGATCGAGGTTTATAAGATTATGCATGGGAAAGAGCAGGTAAAGAAAGAGGTACTTTTCTCCCTTTCTCACAATACAAGAACTCGTGGGCACTCCATGAAACTGCAGAGCGGTCGGGTTAGAACGGATAAAAGGAAGTACTTCTTCACCCAAAGAGTGATTAACACATGGAATTCACTGCCACAGGAAGTGGTGGGTGCTACAAGCATGGACGGCTTCAAAAGGGAATTAGATATATATATATATATATATATATATATATATATATATATATATATATATATATATATATATATATATATATATATATAGTACAATATAATAGTAATCAGTTAATAATAATGATGATGATAATAATTGGGGATATAAAATAAAAGGCTCTGAGAACTGCTTTAAAGCTATGCTTGGGGTGGGGGGTGATAAAAGAGAGAGAGAGAGATGAATCAACCTTAAGATTAAAATTTGCGTGTTCTCGGCTGATGTGTCCTTAAGAAACTTCCTGTATTTGGGGGAGGGCGTGTCCCAAACGTGGGAAGGGCGGTGCTTCGGGGCGGCTGCCTTTCCTCGGATTGCCTGCGCTCAGGGGGCGTGCCCTTTCCCAAAGCCCCGCCCACCAATCGGGAGGGCGTGGCCGTGGCTTTCCCCATTCACGGGCGGCGGCGGGTGGGCGGGGCTTTCTCCCCAGCCCCGCCCCCTTTCCCGGGGCCGGTCCTCGCGGCGGGCGCGAGGCAGGAGGCGCTCATGCCGCCGCCATGCGCAAAGGGCCGCGCCGGCTGCGGCCGGGGATGGGGGCGGCCCAGGGAGAGCTGGAGCAGGGGGGTCTCTCCGCGTCCCGCCGGCGGAGCCTCGGCCGCCCGCTGCGCCGCTGGCTCCTCTTGCTGCTCCTGGCGGCCGGGGCGGTCTTGGGGCTCTACCTGCTCTGGCGGGAGGCGGCGGCGGGAGGATCCAGCTGGGGGGCGAAGGAAGAAGCGCAGCAGCAGCAGCAGGTCGGGTCCTCCCGGGTAGGTGCGGGGGGTTGCACGCCGGGGGTTGCACGTGGGAAGGCTGGGGGCAGCGGCGAGGCTGGGCCCTGGAGGGGTCGGGTCGGTCATGGCCCTGAGGATGCCAGCCTCCAGGTGGGGCCGGGGGGATCTCCCGGAATCGCGGCTCGTCTCCCGACTGCGGAGTTCAGTTCCTCCGGAGAAAAGGGGTGCTTTGGGGGCAGGGGGCGGCCGAACTGGCTTCACGCAAGAAGAGCCACGCAGAAGGAACGCCGGAGGCGTGAGAGCCGCGAGACGGGAACGGCCGTGACCCGCGTTTGTGACTTGAAAGATATGCAAGTTTGCGTTTTGATTACCATTCAAACGCGACTGCCCGGGATAATAACGGAAAGGGGGTAAAAGCAGGTATTGGTAATGATATTTATGTGTCCAATGATCAGTGTTCCCTCTCAGCTGTGGAGTCTTGCGAGCAAAAATTCTACTTTATGAGCCACTGGCATTAAAGTTGTGAGCGAGCGATTTGGCTGCTGCATAAATTAGTTTGCTCTAAAGCCATCCTTCCTGAGCTAAGACAAAAATGTGTGAGCCGGAGGCTAAAAAACTGTGAGCTAGAACACACTAACTCAGCTTAGAGGGAACACTGCCAATGATATTTGTTTGCGAATGATGTTCCGCTTCCCCAGCTGGGAGCTGCGCATTATGTGTGAAAGAGCCGCATGCGGCTCCGAGCTCCAATTTGGCCAATTCTGCTTCGGAAGGTGGACTCTGTGGCCTTGTGTAATGTCCCTGTCCTCCACCCCCAAATCTCCAGGGATCTCCCAACCTCTCTATGGCAGCCTTAGGTGGCACCTGGGGGGAGATCCAACTTGAGAAAGCTGGATCAGGTCAGCTGACCGTCAGTATCCAGGCAAAAGCCAGACTGCACCCTTCCTCCCAAGGAGACGCTGGCCTGTACAGGGCAGGGAAAGCACACCTCCCCCGCCCCCAGTCCGGTAAAACACAGTCCTCTTCCTAGATTGCTTGCAGAACTAGCCAAGTCTCCCTGCAGAGATCTAATCCGTGGTAAATTCAGGCTGGAGTGCAAAACATCATCTTGACAGGGCTACGGAGAACTAACCTGGCTGCCAGTGCTCCCTCTAAGCTGTGGAATCTTACCAGCAAAAATTCTACCTTGTGAGCTGCCAGAAACTGATTTATGCAGTAGCCAAATCGCTCACTCACAACTTTAATGCCAGTAGCTGACCAAGTAGAATTTTTGCTCACAAGACTCCACAGCTTAGAGGGAGCGTTGTTTGCCTTCTGGTTTGTTTTAATGTAATTTAATATGATTACTGTTTTTAATACGGTGTATATCACCCAGAGGAGCTGCGGTGGCTCAAGTAGTTATGACGCTGAACTGCAGGCCGTGGAAGGTCAGTAGTTCAGCAGTTCAAGACCCGGGTTGCCGCATGACGGAGTGAGCTCCCGTCTCTAGTTCCAGCTCCTGCCAACCTAGCAGTCATTAGCATAACTTATTTGCATAGGCCACACCCCCTGACCTCACCGGAAGTGTGTCAGAAGGCAACACCCACCGCTCAGGCTCCACTGGACGCTTTTGGATTGCTAGCTATTGGGGGGGGAGAAACGTGCAGATCTTTCCTCACAGAGGAGGGAGAGCTTGTACCTGAATAAAACTTAGTTTTAAAGGTGCCACTGGACTG